GAAAGAGAAATAAGGGGGGAAATAAAGAGGTGAGATGTTCGGGGGACATACGATGGTTTATTTCCTGTTGATGACCGTGTACGGTATTCTCGACTGGACCGGCCGGAGGTGTATTTCATGTTGGGTGAATTCTCTTTGCAAGCCAAATGATGTACAGTGATCGAATGCATAAAATAATAATAATAATAGAATTAAAACTTATGTAAAAAAGTGAACATGGGTGTGTCTGAGAAGTGGTCTGTACACGGAATGCTACGTGTCTGCGTGTATACATGCACACGTGCGTGCGTGCATGTGCTGTGCGGAGCTCTAGACAAGACCCGTATGTACTTACGTCCCCAATTTCATATTTCTTACTAGGTTTTACGGCCAAGATGTTCGCGCTTATGACATTTTATTTGGGGATATACCGCGGCCAGCTCAGGCAGAAGACCTTTACGAAATCCTTGACTCCTTCACTGAAAAGTACGAAAGTGAAGAAGGACAAAGCAACGTGAGGCGAGCAGCACAGGAGCAGAAGCCACCTGTACGTGGGCTCTCGTGTCTGGTGGCTGCAGGTGCTCCTGCCGGGCACTCTGTCCTGGTGCGCGTGTCCTGTGGAGCATCCCTTCTAGCTCCATGTGCTCAAAGGCCCGTGAGAATGCCACGCAGCCAGGCATGCTGCCTCTGCACGTCTCACGGCAAATCTGGCGTGCTTTTGTCGCCACGTTCTCTAGGGAAGAGTGTTGTGCTGTGAGTTATCGCAGCAGCTCTCAGAGCTGGGGTGCGAGCCCTGGCTACATGTCAGGCCCTGCGGGCCTTACCGAGCTCCACGCCTTGCAGAGTGGCTTGGTCACGGCTGCCTGCAGTGGAGCCTGGAGTGTGGAGTCCCAACTCTTTGCCTCTCCCAGCGACTGTGCGGCTCCTTGAGCCCCGGCAGGAGCTCAGGGGGTGGCTGGGGATTTAGCACAGGTGCAAGAAGCACCCGCATCCCAGTCCTGGCCTCCGAGCGCACCAGTCCCTGTGGCCAGAGTGCCCAGGAGCTCTCGCTGCCTGGTTGATGAGCGGTCCCGTGAGCCAGTAGAAGAGGGAGCTAGTGTACGCTCCTAAGGAAAAACAGGGCTTTCGAATTTTGTATTTCTCTCCATTCCTCCCAGATGAGAGAACTACCCCCCAAACCACCACGGCCTCAGCAATTACCTGCAGCTGCCCCGCCAAACTCTGACTCTAAAAGTAAGTATTTTTGTTTCAGTTCAATACAATTAAAATCAGTTGTTAACAATTATTGTTAAGGAAATAAGCTACATGTTAAACTTTAGAGTCAAATGAAAGATCTAGTGGGTATTTAAGAGCAAAAATAAACATCCAGTCTCTTGTAAACAGTAAGGCAAATTATCATTGCTGTAATCTGTGTGCCCTGGGGTTCATATTTACAAGGTGCTTTTTAAAATCTATAAAGGGGTTTATCTTTAAAGTTTTTCTCATTTATTTTCTCTGTCGTTTCTCCCAAAGTCTGTTCTACTGATCTGAAATGGGAAGAAAATAAGCATATTTCTGCCCACTCCCAACTTTACATTTCTGAACACCTCGCAGTGCCCGTCGAGAGCAAGGGCTGCAGGTGCTTCCAGAGGGCACGAAACCTGTGAGGCCGGGTTCGGTCCTGGCACCTTTCCTTCCCCTTCCATGATGGTCACCCTTGGAACTGTGCTTTCACAGCAGAGCATGCCAGTGGGAAACAGACGTGCAGAAGAGGGGACCTTGCTTACAGTGAGCAACTGTCACGCGGGCACGGGCATGCCGCACTGGAGGTCCTGCCTTTGAAGACAGAGCATGGGGCAGGGGCGTCACCTGCAGGAAAGCGACTGCGGCTAGTGGGAGGAGGTGCAGGACACGTTCTTGGGGAGTGAAGGTTACAGTCCTCCAGAGGGCGGGGAGCCCGTGCCCACCCTCCACATCCTGTGTCCAGCCCTGCCGCTCGTGCTGGCTCTCAGCCAGTCATGCCCGCGTCCCCTCCAGGCAGTCTCAGGAGCAAGGCTACTCATGTCACTGGCCCTCCCCAGGTGCCTGCTCTCACGGTGAGCTGCACTCTCCCACCAGGAGGGCAGCCTGCATCCAGCTCTGCTCACACTGCACTCGTCTTCCTCTGGTCTCCCAGCCTGCCAGGTCCCGGGCACTCAGAGGGGTCAGAACATGGTAGCAGGCATGTTCAGGCTGACTGGGGTTGCCACGTGGGATCTGGCTTCCCTGGGGCAAGACGCCACCACCCCACTGCAGAGCGGGCCATGCTATCCCGGGCACTCAGAGGGGTCAGAGAATGGTAGCAGGCGTGTTCAGGCTGACTGGGGTTGCCACATGGGATCTGGCTTCCCTGGGGCAGGGCGCCACCACCCCACTGCAGAGCGGGCCATGCTGGTCCTCTTGACCCCCGCTCCTGCCAGTAGCTCACTTTGAGACAGTCCCCTCCCTCCATGACCGTCCCACTCAGGAGACAGCCTGCTCACAGCCTCTGAGTAAGTGTTCCAAACCCTGCGGTCTCAACACCCCTTGGGATTTTAAGTTTACAGAATTGTGGTTTTGGGAATATCAGATGTCGGGGATTTTATACCTGAAGAACTGATCTTTCAAGATTTCAACATATGAAATTATATATTCAGAATGTACCTTTCAGGACTCAGAGCCACCATTTTTAACCTTGTACTTTAAATTCGACCTGTTCCTAAACTCACTATCAAAAACTAAATTTTTATTTTTAATTTCTTTTCTCTTTTGATTTCCTTTTTTTTAAAAATTTGCCAGAAGGCTCATGTGCTTGCTGGAGAGGAAAAAAAAAGAGAAAGTGAGAAAGCACCTTCCATGGAAGGTGGCCACCCCATGGCCCCCTCCATCTTCTGTCCTTTGGAGATTAGGCATGCACACATATGCACACACACATGCACACACACGCACATGCCCCCACACATATGCTCACACATGTACGCGTGCATACACACATACATGCCCACACATATGCACACACATGCTGGCTCTGATGTTAAAAGAGGCATGTAGACCAATGGAACAGAATAGAGACCCTAGAGATGAACCCCAAAACACACAGCCAGCTGATTTCCGACAAAGGCCATCAGACACTCCGGTGGAGAAAACAAGATCTCTTCAGCAAATGGTGCTGGAAAATCAGGTGCCCACCTATGGAAGATGACGTTCTTTTTCTAAGATAATTAATAAGAGGGGCATAATGAGCCAAAGGATATGTTTTCAAGTTTTTAACAAATTTAGTCTGTTACTTTTCTAAATCTTTACTTCTGAAGAGTCTCATAGCCATTCCTTATCTTCAGTCCCCGCCTCGTATACTCCTTGGAACACTCCCCACCGCATACCCTCCCTCCTCTGTGACAGTCCCCACCATGTACACCCCCATGACAATCCCTACCGCATACCCCTGTGACAGTCCCTGCCATGTACCCCCATGACAGTCCCTGCCACATGCACTCCCGTGACAATCCCAGCCATGTACACACACCACCAGACTCCCAGCACGTGACAATCTCTAGCACCCTGTCATGTCACTCTCCCACACCTGGCGTCCCCACTCATCGACTCCCCACTAAGCACACTTGGGCCACGTGCATCCCGCCCCAGGGCACACGGCGGCCTCCTCAGCACACCCCTCTTCCCGTCAGCCACAGAGCCACCTCAGTGGCCGTGAGTCAAGGCTGGTTGCGTCCCTTCCTGTCTATCCGCGCAGCTGAGCGTTGCTCATGTGATTGTCGGCGTTTCGGACTGAATCTTGCCTGACAAGTCTCTGCACTTCATTAGCCCACCTCTTCTTTTCTATTGGGGTATTCGTTGTATTCTCAGTTTGTAGAAATGCTTTATGTAGTAAGGGCTCTGTCATTTACTTGTGGTATTTTTCTACATTTATCATTTGTCTATTGATCTTATCTTTCATATATTTCAATATATGGGTGTTTTTCATGTAAAAACATGTCTTTCATTTATTTTTCATAGATTTAGATTATTTTAGTGAGGTTAGGGTCTTCCCACTTCTGTCCCACCTTCCAGATTATGATCATGGGCCCCCAGATTTTCTTGTGACGTTCCATTTTTGTAGTCACTGGGTACGTCTGCCCACGGACTTAGGGTTATCTCACCAAGTCTTCCTCGAATATGCAAGTTAAGATAATTTAGTGAACTTCTATTTATTCTACAGGTTTTAGATAGCAATTCAATGATGTTACATACATGAATGAACTCTTCGTAAGGTGTAAAGTCTCTGGTTTCCTGGCCCTTCCGGTTAGGTGGGCGCCCAGTGCTTCGTGGTGAGTGTGCTGCCGTGAACGTGGTCACATTCCCACCCACTCCACAGCGCTCGTTTCTGTCTTCATCCGTTCATCCACCCAAAATTATGCTAGTCATTTTTAAAAACTATTTTACTATTTTTTCCATTTTTGTGTCCACTAAATGTTTTGCTCTTTTCCCCCTTTGAATCGCTCCCCAGCTCCCTCAGTGCCCACCCTCCTCCCACACCTGAATAGCCTCGCTGCTCTACCTTGAGCACACATGTGTACACGCGCTCAGTGTGTTTTTCAAGCCACTGGAGTCGAGATTTGAGCCACAGTTGGCCATGAGGGGTCCAACGCCCTTCACTGCACTCTCCAGCCCTGTGTGTGGGCCCAACAATGGAGTCCTGCTCCTGTAGGCTGAGCTCTTCAGGTGGATGACAGCACAGGGCACAGGGCACAGATCTTCTAAGAGACACGAATTCCAGGTGCCTGGTGCCCAGCTGAGTTCTTCCTTAAAGTCACCCAGCTGAGAACAGGGCAGGCAGGTTACCCCCTTCTTCTCCACCCTCAGTCATCTTTTCTGCACTTGAGGAAGAAAAGCAAGCCCAGACCGTCCTGACCTCGCCGCTCCACATTGTCCCCCGAAGGTGTAACTCGACTTACTGATAACAATGCCAGTGGCTCAGTCCACAAGAGGTTGTTTAATGACAGCTTCTGATTATTATAATAAATCTAGAATAAATTCCTATCCAAATTTTTGTTGTAAAAATGTTACATAAAAATGTAACACTAAAACATTGCTATATAACCTTTGAGACAACAGAGGTGGAAATAGGTTTTAAAAGTTAAGCGTGAACACAGCATGGGACCAGCAAGATGGTGTAATGGTTGTCGCTGGACTCCTACGCAGTTGACCATAATTCAAGCCCCAAGCCCAGCAGCTTAAAACTCACGCCGGGCATGTGTGTGTGCCTGCCCAAAATCCCAAGAGGAGAATGGAAGAGAATGGATGGCAGTATGGCCATCTTCCCTAGGGGTGATTTCTTGCTTTCTAACTCTGTCTCTCCAGCAAGCATACACACCCTACAGCAAAAATCTCTCACTAGAAAAAAAGGACACGGCATAATTTCTGACTACTAAAAAGAGCTAGTCGATAGTAGGTTTCAGATAACTATGATATTTACGTGTTTCATCCCAAAGAAGGAACAATACGACTGTTTAAAGAATCATATGCAAAATGTAATAAAAAGTACAATTTAAGTTTATATGAAACAACTTTGTTGGTTTAAAAACACAATGGCATGTGCTCATGCCCTTTAAATGTTTCAGAGTTGAGCAAGAAGACTGTTTGAAATCACGGACTCGGGGGTCACCACCGTGTTAGAATTCCGGCACTCTGAGCCGCTCCTGGAAAGAACAACTGTGAGTCCTCGGTGCGATATGCTCGAGGCCGCAGTCAGCACACGCGTGCCCTGTCTGTGCCCGCCGTTGCTCCCACTCTGCCTGTCTCTGTGTTCATTCAAGCAAACCTCGATTTAAAGCGTGATCAATTAATACTGCTTCTATCAGTTACGGTGATATAAAATATGTGCTGAGCAAGGACAAGACACAGGCTTTCCGTTGTAGCTGGTGCACTATACACACTAAAAAGCTTTATAAATCACCCCTCTTTTACAGGTACCAGAAACGAACATAAACTCTATCCTGGACTTTCTGGCTATCATGAGCAAACTGGTAAGTAAAAAAGTCTGTATGTTGAAAATGATTCACGTCTATCTTATAATCAGGCGTTTCGGTTGATCTGAGGGCTATGGAGGCGTCTGAGAGCCTTCAGCCTGTCCTGACTGGCAGGGCCGCCCTGTTCTTGTGAGAAGCAGCTCATGGTAACACTGTGGTCCTGTGGTCCTTTCTGCTCTGTGCTGAGATGGGCTGAGGCAGGGCCTGAGGAGTCTAGCTCCCTGCCCGGAGCACCTGCTGGGACCAGGAGGTGTGAGTCCTGGGTGCCATGCCATCTAGGCACCACGTGTTCTTCTGAAAACTAGCCCAGGAGCTCCAGGACCTGCCACTGGAACAGAAGGACAGAGTTTGCTGTCTTCCTTTTCCACGTGCCAGAGGATACCTGCACACAGGGTGGGCTGGCCATGCCACTGTCTCCATCCTGGCGCTGTCTGGGTGCACACGCACATACCCAGTGTCTGCTCTAAGCCACCAGGGTCAGGACCCCAATCCTGTCAGCCATGTGGGACCCAGCTTCCTCTGAGCAGTGCCTAATCCTGCACTGTGGGCAGTCCTAACTTTGAATGTCAACTTTAAAATCCTTGTGGCATTTTCTGTGAGTTTTAGCTAAATATATATATATATATATATATATATATTGTTTGTTTTTGTTTGTTTGTTTTAAGATATTTACCTTAGGTGCATGCACTGCTTGGGACGGGGCCGGGGGGAAGGCCACGCTACAGTCCCTTCTCCACTCTCCTCTGGGATTTTGGGCACACATACACACATACTTAGCATGATTGTTAAGCTGCCAAGTCCAGGACTTGAACCTCAGTCAGCCATGTGAAAATCCAATGTCTTAACCACAACACAACCTGCTGGTCGTATACATTTTATAATTTTTAAGCAATATTTTTCATGTTAAAATCTTTCACTGTTAGTGGAAACTACTTCATAAAACTTGATATGGTTTCTATGGTAAAAGTGGTCCTCCACCTGCCTTACTTTAATGCTCTTTAGAAATGTTCCTTGAAAGAATTAGCCATTATTTACAACCGTGAGAGGGTCACAGACTGAGGGCACAAGCTAAATCGTCCCGTCATGAATCGTCTGTTTTAATGTGAAATAATTTTGTCACTAGTGTCACAGGGCTACACCCTACAGGATTTAACGTAGTTGAGAATTAACCATCTCTTGTAAATAAAATATCGAGAAGTTAGGTATTCAAATATTTTAAAAATTTATATCATGCAGATAAAAATGTGTTGAAATGTCCCTTCAGCAGCGTCCTCGAGGTCTCCTCACAGCAGCGACGCCCACGCTTCCGGGGGCCCTGGCCCTGACGCGTTCCTGGGCCGAGGTGCCACACACAGGCAGGGTCAGCAGACACCCAGGAGGCCGGCCTCGCGGAGTGTGAGCCCCGGGGGCTGCCCTCCCCCAGCGCAGACTGTAGTCTGACCGAGCTGTGTCCCTCTGTACCCCCATTCGCACTGGGCCTGAGTATCGTCCTGGAAATGGCCAGTCGCTCCAAGATTCTTCAGGATTTTAAGAGGGTGCCTGTGAATGAGGGCGTCAGCGTAACGCTATGGGGCTTTCTGGTGGCCAGGTGGGCCCCTTCCCGGAACAATGTTGGCTCACCTTACTTTTTAGTTATTTTAATACTCTTTAAAGAGAAATTCTTTTGCAATAGGGCGCATGAGCTCGCCTGAGGGACAGAGAAAGAGAGAAATCGCCCCCCTGGGGGGGATGGCCACGATGCAGTCCTTTCTCCTCCATTCTGCTCTGACGATTTTGGGTACACACACACGTGTCTGGCGTGAGTTTTAAATTGCTGGGCCCAAGATGTGAACCACAGTCAACTATGTGGGAGTCCAGCACTGAACCATTACACCATCTGCTGGTCCCTTTTTGTTTTTAACTTTTTCTTTTAAGAATGAGACTTTTGCTATAGGGCATGGGCATTGCCTGGAGAGACAGAGAGACAGAAAGTGAGAGATCAGCCCCCCAGGGGTAGCCATGCCACAGACCCCTCTCCTCCACTCTCCTCCTGGGGTCCTGGGCACTAACGCATATGCGCCCAGCATGAGTTTTAAGCCACCAGGTCCAGGACTTGAATGGCGGTCAACTACATGGGAGTCTAGCCATAACCATTATGCCATCTGCTGGTCCCTTTTAACTTATTTTTAACAAATTCTCCCGTGAACAGACCTCCAATGGAAATGATCTCCATTTACATTAAAGAGGGATTCCAGTCTCTTGGAGCTTTTTGGAAAAACCTTATCATTGTGCTTGCATCCTGTGTGAGCCATTGTCTTGGGCTCAGGTGGCTCCTGGGACCTCCTGCCTCCCTCCTGACCTGGCCTTGGCCTGGTGTGGATGGAAGGTGGGCTCTGAGCTCCTGACCCCCCTGCGCAGTTCCTGGAGGTGCAGGGTAGAGGCTCCCCAGCCCAGAACTGTGATTGGTGAAGGCTTTGTGCAACTCCATCTTCGCTGGGCGGCAGCCCCCACCGTCTCACCGGGCTCCAACACGGCTGCAGGAAGAAGAATCTGACAGTGACCTTCACACAACCTGCTCACACCACAGGAAGGTCTTCCTCTCAAACCACCAGGGGGAGCTGGCAGGTGGCGTCATGGCCAACTGCAGTTCGAGTCCCAGACCTGGCGGCTTTCTCTCTCTCTCACTCTCTCATTCTGTCACTCTGTGGTCAAATTAAAATAAATAAATAAATAAATAAAGTTAAATAATAATAATAAAAAAAAATTGAAACCACCGAGCTGGTGGTTTTAAAAAGTTAAAACCAACAGGCGCCCCGCTCTCTAGCCTGACTTCCTCCTCTCCCATCTGGACTCTCCTGCGGCTCAGAGGAAAGCAGGCCTGAGTGTGAAGGCCGAGCAGCAGAGGCGCCGCCCTGCCCGTCATTAGCACCGACCCAGCTTTTCCCAAGGGCCTTAATCCTCAGTGGCTTCCGCACAACTTCGTCCATTTGGGCTCCTCTTACAGGACACCTCGACTGGGTCTAGTGACAGAGAGACCGCCCCTCCTCACAGTACTGGAGGCGGGGCCCAGGCTCACGGGGCCAGGAGACCGCAGGGCTGGCAAGCCCCAGCGCTGGTCACAGACGGCGTCTGTCCTTGCCATGTCCCTGCCGGGCAGCTGTCTGTGCTGTGTGTGAGGGACACTAATCCCGGCTCCCGAAGGCCCCACCTTACACTCTGCCACGTTGGGGTTAGAATGCCAGCGTATGTGGGGCTGGCAGGTGGCATGTGGTGAGGGCCTTGGACTCCCACATGGCGGACGGTGGCTGGAGTCCTAGACTGGCAGCTTGCTTTCTCGTTTTCCTTCCCTCTCTGTCTCTCTCTCACTGGTGAGCACATGTGCCCTACGGCAAACTAAATAATAATAATAATAAAAGTAAACAAAAGGTTTTAAAACATAACTTCAACATGCGAATTTGGGGGGGGAACAGACATTCAGACCTCAGCAATGACTACTCAATTAAAACAGGAGAAATGTTAATAATATCTTACAGATTATTCAAGATTCAAGCAAGCCTAACGACATGCGTTTGCTCAGCACACCATTAGGTGTATACAAGGAGCAGTTATGACTTATGTGGACTTGGAAAATGCTGTTACCAAATGTTCTTTTCAAAGGAGACAGCGATGTTTAACCCTGTGGTGGAATCGCACAGACCAACCTGGGGGTCTGCCTGGCCCTCGGTGGTCGATTTCTGTCTGACCTGCATGTGCTCCCAAGGTTTTCCCTAAAAACATAAGTAACTTAAACACTGTTTCCTCGTTTTAGGCAGTTCAAGCCCACTGGCAGAAGTGACAGCGCTGTATTCTTTTGAAGGACAACAACCAGGGGATTTGAATTTTCAAGCTGGAGAGAGAATCACTGTTACATCGAAAACGGAATCGCGCTTCGATTGGTGGGAGGGAAAGCTTCGAGGTCAAACTGGCATTTTCCCTGCCAACTATGTAGCCATGGATTAGTTTATATTATTTTCTTTTTGAGGATTACCAAAAAAAAAACCACAAAACACAAAAAACAAAAAAAAACACTGCTACACTGACAGGGCTTACTACCCAACTAAGCAGCTAAGGGATGTTTAATATAAGTTTAAAATACTTTTCTACAAATCTTTAATCTGGTATGAAAAAGATTTTGCTTATATGTAGAAAGATAGCTTACATATTCTTAAATACATTGTACTAATTGCAGCCACACACTACGTCATAGTCAGTATCTTCTAACTCGCGTGGTCATGGCTCCTCCGTGTTCACTTTTAAACATCTGTGTATATCAGTACTTCAGTCTGAGAGTTCGGGCTAGAGCTGTGACTGTCAGATCACGCGTTTCTATTTGGAAAGTGGCTAGAGAAAAAGAAATCCCTTAGGAGTGTTGAGTAAGTCTTGGAGTTATGGAATAAGAATCCTTTCTGATTATCTTCATACCTTCCGCATCTGCATCTGTCTAATGAGCAATAGGCTTTGATTTCTCCCAGCTCTGGAGGCTGGAAATATTAAACTTTCACAGCAGAAACGAATCACTAGGTCAGCGTGACCACTGCACGTTAGCAACTATGCTTTCAGTCTCTTGTTCATGGAGCTCGGCCTGCCCGCTTCTAGCAGTAGAATCCACGTCGGTGGCCTGTTTGCATTGCTTGCGAATAAATGTTTAAAGAATGCTTGCTAAAGTTAATATCTTGATTTTGTCTTTATTTTTGTAAGGTAGAATCCTGTGGTTCAGCACAGGTTAAAAACTGACAAACATTTCCCCAAACTCAGAATGAGGTTCAGTTGGGCATGTGATGGTGTCTTGCACCTGACTTGTTCAAAACTGAGCTTTTGGGAACCAGCAGTTAGCGTAATGGCTATGTCACTGGACTCCCACTAGTCGACCACGATTCGCGTCCTGGACCTGGTGGCTTAAAACTCACGCCAGGCGCGTGTGCGTGCGTGCCCAAGATCCCAAGAGGAGAATGGAGGAGAAGGGATTGTGGCGTGACCATCCCCCCTGGGGGGTGATTTCTCACTTTCTGTCTCTAATGTCTCTCTCTGTCTGTCTGGCGAGCGCACGCGCCCTATAGCGAAGGGGCCTCTCCAAAAGGGAAAAACAAAAACAAAAACAAAAACTGAGCTTTTGCTTTCCTCTCCTCGGCCTCCCCTGCTCCCTGCCCAGCCCATTCCGGCTCAGCTAGAAATCCCAGCCCTCCCTCCTGAGCCGCAGGTGACAATGGAATCATACTGGGTTCTCCGCTCTGACCACACCCTGCATCAAACCCACCTTCAAAACACCCTCTGGACCCAGCCACCCCCTGCCTCTGCTAGCCGGAGCCTGACGCAGGCCCGCAGCTCGGCCGGGCATTGCCACAGCCACAACGCGGGTTCTTAGTCCTTGCTTCAACACAGCAAATCCTCAGAAGTAGCACACTCACGCTCCACCTTCTTTTTTTTTTTGAGAGATTTTCACTGTAGGGCGTGTGCGCTCGCCAGACAGACAGAGAGAGACATAGAGACAGAAAGCGAGAAATCACCCCCCAGGGGGGATGGTCACGCCGCAATCCCTTCTCCTCCATTCTCCTCTCGGGATCTTGGGCACGCACGCACACACGCCCGGCGTGAGTTTTAAGCCACCGGGTCTGGGACACGAACCGCGGTTGACTACGTGGGAATCCAGTGACATAGCCATTACACTAACTGCTGGTTCCCACGCTCCACCTTCTTATCCCCGCTTCACAGCCTCACACACGTGCACACGCGTGTTAGCCTGTTTTACTCACACTCACCCTCCTCTTCTTATCCCCACTTCACAGCATCACACACACGCACACGCGTGTTAGCCTGTTTTACTCACTATGCCATTCCTAAGATACGGGGGAGGTGAAAAGGGCCATCCCCATCACCCAGTGAGAAATACAGTGAGGGTTCCTTTTCAGACTCCTCCCAGCGAACGTCCCCTTCTAAGCATCTCTCTGGGTCTTAGCTGCCTGAACCCACGCGTTTGTTTACGTCGTTATGCATGTACTTATTTCTAAGCACACTGGTGCTTAGGCACATGTGGTATTGTATATGCTTTTAAACTTACAGATTTAGACATTTAAACTTGTAAAAATAATCAAATCAATTAATTTGCAATGGAGTTACTTATAAAAACTATGCCATATACATTCAAGGTGCTAAAGTTGGGGAGTTTCAGTAGAAAGTTGATACTATAAGACATAGGAATTTGATACTAAATGGAAATTTTGAAACTGAAAAATAAAACCAAAAAGACAATGAAAGGGTTTAAGAGTAATCCAGTCATGGCAAAGAGTCACCAAATTGACAGGTCAGACATTGGATGAACGCCCAGAGAGGAAGGGCTGAGACGTGGACAGAGGGAGATGCAGGGGCAGGTGGGAGGCCCTTGCTGAGCAGAGCCCCAGTCCAAGCAGGGAGGGGCCATAGGGCTGTTGGTGAGAACAGCTGAGAATATTCCCAGACTGTGAGGAGTCGGGAACTACAGGCTTAAGAAGGATGAGCCTGCCATAGAATAAACCAGAAAATACACACCTCAGCACCTCAGCACCGAACTGCTAAATTCCACAGATGAGGGGCCCGCAGGTGGCGTGGTGGTTGAGGTGCTGGACTCCCACATGGCCGGCTGCGGTTCGGATCCCAAACCTGGTGGCTTGCTTTCTCACCTTCTCTCTCTCTCTCTCTCTCTCTGTCTCTTTCTGGTGGGTACACATGCCTTGCAGCAAATTTAAAAACAAGAAATAAAATTAAAATAAATAGCTCTTTAAAAAAGAGAAAAGAAGCTAATTAAAAAAAAAAAATTCCACAGACGAAAATCTGAAAACTATTACAACTTGGTAACAAAGTGATAACCGGATGCCAAAATGGGCGAAAGACGTCAATCATGTCATCAGTGAAAATCCATGCCTGCCGGCAAGGACAGGAAAAGGGCTCGGCATGCCCAGCAACTGGGAAAGCACGTGGAGACAGAATGACGCTACTGGGCAGCCCGAATGCCTGACACCGGAGCAACTGGCGACTGCTAATGAGAGCACGGGAGCCTGAACTCTCACCTTGGAAACGCAGAATCCTGCAGTCGCTCTGGGAAACGACGTGGCAGTTTAGCGTAGCGAGGGTGCGCGCCTTTACCCCACGCCACAGAGCTCACTCCAGGTGCCCGCGTACGTCTCATGTGATGGCCGTCAGCTGTTCTAACAGCCCCCCTGGAAACAATCCACTCACATCCCGCCTGTCGAATAGGCGAAATCGGGGTACATCCACGCCCTGGAGCACCCAGCACTTGGCAACAAAAGGGGCCAGGCTCCAGACCCACGACCCCCAGATCGGTCTCATAGCATTTTGCTAAGCGTCGGAAGTCAGGCACAAAAGCTACTCACCTACGAACGCATTCATGTAAGAGGCTTCAGAAGGCAGAATCTCAGTGATAGAAGCAGGTCGGTCTTGGCCAGCACCAGGGCGGAAGAGCCGGCTGGGCAGAGGGTTGGCGAGGGTGCCTCCATACTTGTGCTACCCTGAGTGGATTTAAATGAAGACTTGATGCTTCATCAAAGGACCTGTAACAATGATTAGTAATTATCAAGATGGATTGTCAGATAAAAGCAGAAATATATAAAAACAGAAATATGAAAGGAGAGACTAGCCCATCGCCCTCAGTGCACTGCAGCTCAAGGAGACAGAGAAGGGCCCCTGCTCGCTATCCATACAGCAAGATGGTGCCAACTGTGACCAGCAGTTGGCGTGATGGCTATGTCACTGGACTCCCACGTAGTCGACCACAGTTCGAGTCTCGGACCCGGTGGCTTAAACTCATGCCGGGCACATATGTGCATGTGCCCAAGATCCGAAGAGGAGAATGGAGGAGAAGGGACTGTGGTGTGGCCATCTCCCCTGGGAGGTGATTTCTTGTTTCTGTCTCTCTGTCTCTCTCTGTCTCTCTGGCGAGTGCATGTGCCCTATAGCAAAAGAGAAAAAAAAGATGGTGCCGACTGAGTGCTCGAGGTGGACTGCCTGACCATAAAATCACAAAGGAAACCTCCGTTATCCTATAAGAAGAAGTAGTACAGGGGCCAACAAGTGGCATGGTGGTTAAGGTGCTGGATTTCCACATGGCCAACTGTGGTTCAAGTCCCAGACCTGGCGGCTTGCTTTCTCACTTTCCTTCTCTCTTTCTCTGGTAAGCACATGTGCCCTATAGTAAATTAAATGATGATCATCATAATGTATCATCAGAAAAATCATAATCATAAAGAATAATAATAATAATTTTTAAGAGAAAAGAAAGAAATAGTACAGGTAACATTTCTGGCCATAGGCAAATAAGAAAATCCATACTAGCTTGAAAAGTCAAGCTCTGTGAATACGTAGGTCGAGTTTACAAACCCTAATGGCAGAGGGTTAAAGAAAACCAAATGACTGCATTGCTTAGCTTTGCAGTAAAACCCAGAAAGGCCGACTTCATCACATCACAGTGGGTTGGGAAGATCGTGAAAGGACAGCTTCCAAATGCCGTGTGCAGGTATGAGACTCCACAAGAACGCGGCACCTCGGCTTCTCAGAAATCGCAGCCTGCTCCACCCCGGCAGCGATCCCAACGCCTTCGCTCTAGGCGGGCAAACCTGAGGACCAAGGCTAACCCGGTTTCCTGAAACCTGTGAAAATCATTCATCCCCTTACCTGTTGGAGATAAAAATAAGATCGTCCTCGCACATTTGAAGAGGCATCTAACAAAACTCAGATTCCATTTTGACACACCCACCCAAATAAGAGTGAATGATCTGGGCACTTCCTTAACAAAAATAAAAGACGGTCCACTGAGGACACGGGTGAGCCGGGAGTGAGAAGAGCCCACCCACCACGCATGGTCCACTGAGGACACGCGTGAGCCGGGGAGAGGAGCCCACCCACCATGCACAGTCCACTGAGGACACGGGTGAGCCGGGAGTGAGAAGAGCCCACCCACCACGCATGGTCCACTGAGGACACGCGTGAGCCGGGGAGAGGAGCCCACCCACCATGCACGGTCCACTGAGGACACGCGTGAGCCAGGGAGTGAGAAGAGCCCACCCACCACGCACAGTCCACTGAGGACACGGGTGAGCCGGGAGTGAGAAGAGCCCACCCACCACGCATGGTCCACTGAGGACACGCGTGAGCCGGGGAGAGGAGCCAACCCACCATGCCCGGACCACTGGCCAGGGAGTGAGAAGAGCCCACCCACCATGCACAGTCCACTGAGGACACGGGTGAGCCGGGAGTGAGAAGGCACCCACCCACCACGCACAGTCCACTGAGGACACGGGTGAGCCGGGAGTGAGAAGAGCCCCACCTACCACGCACGGTCCACTGAGGACACGCATGAGCCAGGGAGTGAGAAGAGCCCCACCCACCACGCACGGTCCACTGAGGACATGCATGAACCGGGAATGAGAAGAGCCCCACCCACCACACATGGCAGAATAAAAGACGGTCCACTGAGGACACGCATGAGCCGGGGGGTGAGAAGAGCCCCTCCACCACGCACGGCAGAGAGGTTTCAAAAGAGACAGAGAAAGTTTGAAAGCACCCGCCATCCAAGCCCCCATGTCTCCTCTAGGGGCTTGGGGCGCACGCTCACACACCCGGACAGCTTCTCAGTCTGAAGGGCTTGGACTTGGGCCACGCCGTGGGCCACATGGGAC